GGGGGGGGGGGGGGGGTTGGCAAGGTAAGAAAGCGACAAAAAAAAGTCGGTTGAGGGTTGGATGTGCGGGAGTCTCTCTTCCGGTCCTCGACCGTTCCCATTATCTCCTCTCCTCGTGCCATGATATGAGATCTAAGGCGCCGTACTTTTCACGCGATGAAGTTGAACCGGTGGAGAGGCTGTTGTACCGGCTCGTCGGTCGCCGCGAGAGCGACGTCGTTCGTCGGTGAATGGTCTTTTCTGTTTGCAGGCTCTCGTGTATGGGGCGCAGCTGGGGATCGCGGAGTGTCAGCATCAGTTCCGCGACGGTCGATGGAACTGTTCCACTTTCCCCGGCGACCAGACTGTGTTCGGCAGGGTGCTTCGGCTCGGTACGTTTCGTTGCCAGAGGGAGGCCTACGTTGTTGATGTTTGCACGGGAAATTCAGCTTTCGCAAATTCCCCGGTTCTTCTTTAAAAGAGGGATGGAAATGTAGAGTAAGAGGAGTCCTCCAGATGCATTCCGCCCATTTGAGATCCGCAAAAGTAATTTTAAGAAATAAAAAGGAAATTGGGGAAAAAAAAAATATATATATATATATACCCACGCGGGACCCCATTGCAGACACCCGCGAGAAGGCGTACGTCTACGGCATCACCTCCGCAGCCTCCGCCTACGCCCTCACCCGCTACTGCTCGAAGGGCGACATCCCCGCGTGCGGCTGCGACGACAGATACCACCGGAGACCCAGCAAGGGACCGTGGGAATGGGGCGGCTGCTCCGAGGTACGATCAGCGCCATCTACTCGTAAAATCCCTCATAAATCCCTCATAAATAACTCAGCCCATCGAACGAGCCAGGTCCATAAAGTAAATTGTGCTCATCGAAGAGCGTGCGTAAATATTAGTTCACGAGGTGCTTTGAACTCTCGTACATGTTGTTGTTGGCTGTCTTTTTTTTATTACCATTTTTATTGTCGAAGGCGGAAACATTCGGTTTTTTTTTGTAAAGGTGCAATTAAAGGTGCACTTGTTGCATTCGGTTGCATGCACATTTGGGGGATTCCCAGTTGATGACGCGAACGGATCCGACTCTCGCCCTCGGATTTTATCGTTCAACTCTGAAAAGCGCATGGCAATTTCCGAGAAAAGAAAAAAAATGTTTCTCCTCCAGGACGTGAAGTACGGCTCGAAGTTCAGCTCCGACTTCGTGGACTCTGGCGAGGACTCGCAGACGCCCGAGGGCCTCATGAACCTGCACAACAACCGGGCCGGTCGGCGGGTGAGTTCCGTGCCAAAATTCGCAATGTTCTCATTTTTGCCCTCTTTTGCCATTCTGCCATTTCGTCTGCCATTCGGAGGGAGAATTTGTTTGGGCCTTCGACGAATTATGCTTTCATTTGTTACGAATGCAACTTTTCTTTCGGATAGAATATTCACAACTACGAAATAAATATTCATGATGTAATGCTACGATGAGCATGAAAGATAATGCAAGACGAAAATACCACCGGTCGATCATTCGCATTTCGCACCCTGCAAGGCGTCCCTTTCTCCTCGCGTTTCGATGCATTCGTCGATGAGCGACACTTTAAACGATACAGACCTGCAGGTCAAATCTTAAAAAAAAATCATAGGAATATGTAATATATATAATTACTTAATATATATAATTAATTAATATATATAATTAATAAAAATTGAAATCCGACTGAATGACTCCAAATATGCACGAGACCTTCTACCCCCAGGGCCTGAAGAAAAAAATGACGACGGTGTGCAAGTGCCACGGCGTGTCCGGCGCGTGCAACGTGAAAGTCTGCTGGCGGAAGCTCCCCTCCTTCCGCCTTGTGGGGGATCACCTCAGAGAGAAGCTGGACGGCGCGGTGAGGATGAGGTACAGGCGGGAGCAGAAGAAGCTCAGGCCGGCGCTGGGAGGGAGGAAGGCGTCGAAGAGGGACTTGGTTTTCGTGAGGGAGTCGCCGGACTATTGCGTCAGGAACTTGTCGTGAGTGATGGCTTCCTGTCGTTTTGGGTCGGGTCGGAGGTCTTCTGTTTTTTTTGTCGCTTCGAGGGATCTCGGGTTTTCTGGCGGATGCGTCGTGGTTCGTCCAGACCCGTCGGTCGACTTGACACTGGCCGAAGCGTATTTTTTGGCGCGATGTCCTAAGGGCTAGACCAGGAGCAGAACGAAGTGGTCAACGACCTTAGTAACGGACTTAAGAACTTTGGATATCGGGACTCGGAACGTGTTAACTAGGGCTGCACGATATTTTTCTCGGGACAATATCGTATTGTCTCCGTGCAGTATCCCGATATATCGATTTTATCTTCTTGCTTTGGGGGGAAGGGGGGGGGGGTGGAAAAAATGGGAAAGCACAAAGCCGCGTTGGCGCCTTGGAAACCCTTGCCCGCCTTATTTCCACCCCTTTTCCGACCCTATTCGATTTTATTGCAGCTGGAGAGAGGCGAGGGGAGCATAACGATATTTATATTATCTTGGAAATTGTGGCTTCCCCTTTCTTCCCTCTTTGTGTGAAAACGTTAACAGAAAAAAAAGGGGAGGTGTCGCGATGTGCAACGCGATCGTATCGTGGTACGACCTAAGTCGATAATTATTTTATCGCGGTCGGGAGAGAGGATTTTCTCTTCCAAGATTTCTCTAAAAGAGAGAAGTAATTCCCACCCGAAGGAGGCAGCAATCTCATGATAATATCCATATAGACATCGTCTACGATAATTATTATTGCCGACGATAAAATCGCCTTGTCGGCACCAGGACGATCTCGATATCGTCACGGCTCCACATCGCGTTATTTTTGCAATATCGATACAGCCCTAATGCTGACTCTGGGCGGTAAGGAGCCGTAACTCGGGAAGGCGTTCGCAAAAGCCGGCTAGATATGGTCGACCTGACGATCGACCGAGAAGATCGAGGTCCTATCGCATGATTGACCCCTGTTGGAGCGGAGTAGACCGTAACTATTTTTGTCAAGTGGGAATACTCATTAGTATCGGGCGTGATTAAGTGGAAACCGATCGGTGTGCGAGTCGCTCTGATTCGCCTCGGATTCGAGCGAACCGGGGGTAACCGGGCTCTTAACCGCCGTTCGGGTCTGCGAAACGAACGGCGAGTCGGACTACGACGCGTTCCCTTAAAGAGGTGGAGAGGGGATCCCTCGAAGGGATCTCCAATGAGGACCTCGTCTTGCCGATGGGGGACTTCGTTGCGCGAGTTGGGGACGATGGAGCTGGGTGAAGTGGGGTGATGATGGGTCGTTTCAGAGAAGGGAAGGAACGAATGGGAATGATGGAAGGATAGAAAGTTGCTCGACTTTCGTGCTGGCAATGATCGTCACCGACGCCTTCTTTCAACGTGAGGACATCCGGGTCGGCCGTTCCCGTCAAGAAGGCAACCCATAGGACATAAACGTCCAGTGGGTCGGACTCTTCACGGGCGTGTTACAGAGAGGTGCAAAAAACTGCTGCTCGAGCCTTAGCCGAAGCGAAGCGAGAGAAATGGAAGATATTTTGGAAAAGAAAAGGAACACGACTACCACACTGTTAATCGGCGGTTATGGGAAACCGTTCTGAGGTTCCGACAAGGCAGGCGGCATACTCTCCGGGTCGTGAAAGACCGAAACGGGAAGGACTTGGCTGTCAGAGCGGAAATACAAGGAAAGTGAAAGGAACAATTTGAAGAGCTCTTGAAATCTTTATCGTACGAATGCTAGACATATTTAACGTTACGCAAGTGTCACATCAAAGAGCCCTTCTGACCCTTGAATAGGTTTTTAACTAAGGCTGTACCGATGTATCGGCTAACACCGATATCGGCCGTCGGTGTCAGTGCCGGTGCCCAAAGGACGGGAAAAGCGAAATAAAAAATGAGGTGAGGGCGTTGACGCGGCGAGGCGCCGGCCATCCTGCCTCTCTTCGGCAACTCCTGCCAGGCTCTTCCAGACAATAATTTCGATCGGATTATGTTCCGGCCCGGGTTATAGGTACCGGCGGAGGAAGAGAACGGGAAATACGGTAGAGAATGGGAAATCATTGCATCTCCATTTACGACATGCTTTTGCAAGGGATGTGTCACCGAATGCTCGCAACAGCAGCAATGGTTAACAAGGAAACCACTGACAACCTTATAGAGAGACAGACAGGCTGGACAGAACCAAAAATGGCCTCCTTCCTTTCGAGGAGGTCTACTGATAATTATCACATGGCTTCCAATTAGATCTATTAAAATTTATTGACGATTTCATCTACAAGCCACAATCGGCACCGGCACCGGCCGATGGTTATGAGGAAAAAATCGGCCATCGGCCCACCGGCCAAATGTGGCCATCGGCCCACCGGCCAAATGTGGCCATCGGCCCACCGGCCAAATGTGGCCACCGGTACAGCCCTACTTCTAACCCAAATAAATCATCATGTGATGAAGTTGGTGCTGCATGCTCCCATACAGTCTTTTCATTCATGCCAGGCTCTGCTTTCTTATAAATATTTGTTTTATAAAATGGACTTTGCTGAGACTCTGAGCTTTGCAGACAAGTTTGCTTCCCACCGGTGAGATGTTTATAAACTTCCGGGATCGCTTGAATACACATTGCTTGCATTCGGTTCGTGTTCCTAAGGAAGTACTTATTAGTACTTTTTTTTATTTAGAGGGAATCATATGTTAGACGTGAAAAAGAAGTAGATAAAAATAATAAACCGTCGCAAAACTTTTCAAGTAATTTAAAAGGGTGAAAATTTGTAAATATGCACAGCACCTTTCGCTCTTTCACGTGGTTTTATTGTCGTAGAGCAAAAAATTGGGAATATTTAAAATATTTCGTAATATGCAGCGCCTTTGGGTTAAAAGGGCGGAATCAAATTTCGGCCGCGAGGAGATCAAAGTATTAAAAAACTGGAAGCTGAAGCTGAAGCTTAGGAAGCTGAAGAAGCGTCTCACCGTCAAGGAAGCTGAAGAAGCTATGGCTACTTGAGAAGCTACGGAAAGCCTTTTGGCGTGGACGGAATCCGGGCAGAGACTCTAAAAGCAATGGGCGTCGATCGGTGCTCGCGGTCGCGTGAGGGATGTCGCACCGCTTGGGAGTCGGGAAGACGCCGATGGATCGGGAGGTCGTCGTGATTGTTCCTCGTTTTAAGGAGGGGAGGGAGTGCACCGAGTTCCGTGGAATCGCTCGATCCTGCGTAATTTGTAAGGTCTGTGCGGAGGTGTACGGAAAGAGGGTCGTGCAGTCTTTGGGGTAGCCATCCAAGAGGTGCAGTGAGAAATCCGTTCGTGCTGCAAACCACTCACCGGCTCTTCACTCTTCGCCAGATTCGAGAGAGACATTGGGAAGATTTCTAAGAGGTTTACGTGTGTTTTGTGGATACCGAAAAGACTTACGGCCGTGTACTTCGAAAAAAAGCCGTGCGGAGTGCTGCAGGAATTTGGGGTTCACGGTCGACTGTTGCGGGCCATTCAATCCTTATTCGGTGATTGCAGGAGTTGGAGTGAACGGGGTGAGCTGTGGACTCGTTCCCGATAAGAGTGGAACTCCGTCACGGCAGCGTTCTCTTCTCCTTTCCTTTTCCCCTTGTACATGGATAGGATCTGTAGGCGCAGTTTGAGCCTCGAGGGTGTCAGCAATGGTTGTATTGAGGCAAAGATTCTTCTCTTTTCCGACGCTGCCGTCATTTTGACCCAGTCTCGACGGGAGCTTCAGACCGGTTCGACTCTGAATGCACTGCGGCACGAATGAAATTGAGCGTCCCCAAAACGCAGGTCATGGTCCCATCGAGAAGTGCACCGTACATGTTAAGGGAACAGGCGGAGAGGTTTCAGTACCTCGGAGTCCATAGTTCTCGAGCGACGGGCGATGCGGAAACGACAGCTGCATTTCGAGGGCCTCCGAAGTTTTGCAGGAGTTCTGCTTGCCAAATCTCACATTTCCAAAAGGCGAAACTTTTAGTTTTTAAAAGCGTATACCTCCTCCCTCTCACTCGCGGTCAAACCGCGACCGAAAGGATCAGGTCGCTGATGCAAACTGCCTCGATGAGATTCTAGCGGCGGGTGGCCGGTGACTCACGCTGAGTGAGAGGATGTGGAGTACCCCTAAGTACCCCTGTCCATAAGTACCTCTAGGTCGTTTGGCTACGCATTTAGATCGGGAGATCCGGAGCCCTTTGGTTCCGACACGTCTCTCGCATGCCTCCCGAGAGACTCCCAGAGTCTTCCGATCTAAAATGACCAGTCGGTAGGCCTCGTGCGAGGTGCAAGGACTATATCGCGAACTTTTGCCACTCGTACACGTCTGCCAGTCCGTTGACTGGAATTCCGGAAGATGCTTCTCCGCCTGCTCGAGCCAGTAAGTTGGGATACGCGGTTTTGAATGTGTATGTATGCACTAATGAACTCGGATTAATTATGTCTGCTGGTGCTGTGTTGTAGTTTGAATATTGAGATGGATCTATTTCATAAGAGTTCAGAAGTGGCAAAAAAAGGGATGAAATATATTACTTAAGAAAGAACATTGCTTCGTCGGAAATTGAGCTGTGTGGTGAAGCTTTGAAAAACTGCTGAAAATAAATTCCAGGCCTCATTCCTCACACCGACGACCGCATTCCATAGGACATGGAATGGTTCTCTTGCACTATGTGTGATTAAAGCTTAATGGTAAGGGACTTCCCCGAAGAAAACAATCTGCCGTCGTTTACTTTCCATTCCGTTCAGAATTCCCTTCGCTTTCGTCCTTTCTTTATGGGTGAACTCATGAAAGTTCTTCACGTGAGTTGCCGAAACGTGTTACAATATAACCGATATATTTCTGTGCTAAGCACGTGATGACGGTTTGGTTTCAGGATCGGAGTGCTGGGGACGGTGGACCGGCCGTGCAACGCGACGAGCGAGGGGACGGGGGGCTGCGGGGTCCTCTGCTGCGAGAGGGGGCATCGCTCGGTCGCCGTGGAGGTGCCGGAGAAGTGCAACTGTCAGTTCGTCTGGTGCTGTAGGGTGGAGTGTGAGAGGTGCGTGAGGAGGTATCAGGTGCAGCTGTGTAACTGAGGGGGTGGAGGGATCGTGTCTTCTGTTGTGGAGCGTCTGTGTTGGTCTTGGTGTTCGTCCTGATTTTCGACGTGGATTTGGGACTGATTGCAGTCGGGAAATCAGGCGATTTTCAGGCGGTCCGGGTTGGAAATTCCTCGAAGAACGGTTGCAGTTAGTCGTAATTTCGTCACTTTCCAACTCGAAATTCCTTTCGTAGATTTGTCCTGTTTGACCCGATCGGAATTTCCGGTGAATCCCCGGCTGAGTTCTGTACATTCATCTGTTTTCATCAGTGTTCGTGCTTCGAAAGAAAATGAATGGGTCCAGTTCGTTCTTTAAACGTCGCTTGATTTCCAGTTGGAACGGTTAGAAATTTCAACCGATTCCAATTGGAATATTTAGTAGAAAAAGGGTCAGTCGCTTCTCGGAGACCTTACTGGAAGAGTCATTAGTAATGTTCGTAACTGCTTTGAGAAAATAAACAATTATGTCGACACGAAAGCCCCAGGTGTTCAATTTTATTCGCCCTTATTAAGGTTGAGGTCCACCCTCGGTGAAAAACGAGCTAGTACCACAAGTCTTTCACAGATGTCGCGAAGAAGCCAGTGGACGAGGGAGCAGGGGAAGGCGAAATCCTCCCATTGAAAGGTGGAGGCGGGAGGGAGAGAGCCAGTCGCGCTGGCTGAGGCGACCGAGAGGCATTTCCCCTTTCACTCCCGTTCATTCCGCTTTTCCTCGCCGTTCCATGTCCTTCGCTCGCCCTCTTCCGCTGTGTTCTTCCAGTTTCGCTCTGAAACAATATTTCTCGCCAGGAGCCACTCAATTCAACCCTCTGTCGATCGACATTTTGTTGGTGAGAAAGTCATGGCTGGCTCGGAACTCGGATTCATCGAAGACATCGGCATCGGCTATCCGGGGCGAAACGCCAATTCCCCCAACAAACGACGAAACGCGAGAAAAAGTCGAGAGAAGCTGAAAAACGGAATGAATCAAATCAGAAAGCATTCCGAATAATTCATTCCCGGAGTTTCAGCGTCTGCAAGCGGAGATTATCCAGACTTTTAATTTGAGAAGAAATAAAACAGGCCATTATGCTTTCGTTTTAGTTTTAGAAGTCGAGCTTGAAGGCATTTCCCCTTTGATTCTGTCAAAGAGCCGAAGGGTTCCAACCTTTAATTAATTGGTTTAGGTGAAAGTAGGAAGTAGAGAAGGGAAAAATATAATTTTTTACAGCTTCACCCTGACGGCATTAAATTTTAAATCATAAACGAACCAGAAAGGATTTTAAAAAGGGACAATGGGCTGTAGACTGTTAAGAGATCAGTCAGCCTCTATTCCAGGCAGAAAAAATAATAATAAAAATAAAAATTTAACCGAGGAAAACAAGAGACACACGGAAGGTTACGCAGGTGAAGCAAGTTATAAGCCAAATAAGAAGCAATAAATTGGAAGTAGGGACAGCCTAACCGCTAGAAACGTGATAGGGCCTACACGAAAATGGAAGAAAGGGATCAATATGAGGACAATTTCGGAAATAGGATGGTAAATTTCTCCCAACATTCCATAAGACCTTGAAGGTTCGCCATGAGTTGCCCGGGTTAGAATGATCCTTACCTAGAGTTTCAAGATATAAAAATAGAAGAAGAACGCTCCTCGGGAACCTGGATATAGGTCGAAAGTTGTCCAGAGCAGCCGACAAACATCGGTGCGCGGGCTCCACTGCATAACTGTTGCAGAGACATCTATGTCATGCGGGAGCGAGCTCGACTCTGAGACTCTGCGGAGCTAGGTGGCGCTCGCACTCGCCATCCCAGCTTCACTGCCAGCCTTGCGCTGCTTCCTCCTTTTCGGTGTGCCAGCCCATCGGCAAGATGAAGGTGAGCATTAGGCCCTTTTATCTTTATATTTTCTCTTCATTTTCCGACTCCTCAGCCCAAAAAATTGTTGTGAAGTCGAAGGAATCCATTCGAAAATCATTTTAAACCTAAAGGCTTGAGTTAATGTTTCCATTGACGTTTTCCATTCTTCCGTGCCTCGTGGAGGCCTAACGTTAGACCTAACGTTAGCCTCAAATATGCATTGTCCTCTTATTATACCAAATGAATTAGGCTAAGTTTGCCCCCTGAAATTAACGCAACAGCTAGAAGTTAAGTTTGGCATAGGGTTAAGTGAAAGGGGGAGATTAGTTAGTTCCCGAATACGTGAAGGATTGACAAATGAGGCCGTGGTCAACAGGACGGAATTGGGAACGGCTTTTATGTTGGTCCAACTTTCGTCACTCATCTGGATATTTTCTTCAAAGGTTTTCCTAGTAGCCAAAGTTAAGTTAGATGTGTTAGGGATTCTCTTTGCATGGAATTTATATATTCAAGTCAATCTAATTTCTACCTTAGTCACATCAGGGTGTAGCAAATGTAGCACCTGTGCCCCCCTCATCCTTCCACCAGATATACTCTTACTAGAAAAGTGAAACAGGTTAAAAAGGTGCATATCATGCTTCCTTTGGACAGTTGTAGGCTCTTGGCATAGACATGCTGAGGCTGGCCTTTTCAAGTCACTAAACTTGGATCTTGTCAGTTAATGGAATTGGACTGGATTGAGTACTGCAAACAGGTTGGATTGTAAGAAGGGGAGGTAGGAAGCTGTGAGAGAGGTGTTCTTCCTGAGAAAAGAGGCCCTATTGCCACATTTGGAAATTATGCAGTCTTGCAAAATTTACAGGGATGTCCTACCCCTCCCACCTGTATGCGATGAGCCTCACAGGTGATGTTCCCCCCTTTTCCCATTCATTTACCCATAGGAAGGAATGAAGACCTCCCTACCCAAAAAACTTTATTATATCCTCTACAGTGCTCCCTTCAAGCCTAGTATCATCTTCCCCTAATGGCATTTTCAGGTTGATGTGACTAGTATGCAGCAGCACATGGACACTTTATCATTGGTGTTGCATAGGTCCATGCCATCTATACATATGGTCAACTTTTATTCTGAAGGCATAGATTTGCTTTCATTTAGCATCACCATCACCCACAAAAGGAACACAAGCTACCGCAGGCAATGGATTGCAAATGAAATTAGCCTGGACTAGGTCCCATCTCTGATTCAATATCATGGTTTGAAAATGGATCCTATGCAATGGCCTGGCTGCCTCTTATTGTGATCTACAATCCTGTCTGTGCTGCCAGTTTGATTGGTAATCCAGCCTACTATGTGATGGTGCAGCTATAGCAATGATTGTAAATTATGCAAGCCTGTTCATGATGGTATCATAGGCCATCTTGAAACACCCTTGGCCAGACTCAGATGATTACGCCTAGCAAATAGAGCATTGCGTCCCTTTTTGCATTATTTTGATGTACCAAATACCTATTTCAGAGGTTGTGACACTTGTAAGTTGGCTGGTATCATTTATTGTGATAATTCATTCTTTGATTCCTTCATTCTCTCAATCAAAGCATGATTACAGTTCATGATGATGATTACAACAATCATTTTTCTAGAAATTTGTTAGCTTATGAGAAGAATATGCTCTTTGAATTCTTGTTTTTATTTATTTGGAGCCAAAGAGTGTATTTGTAGAAATCAGGATAGCCATGATTGTCATGGTGCCATTCTAAATTGGTTGTCTATTTATTTTCCATAGCTGAACGTTTCATATCCAGCGACTGGCACGCAGAAGCTATTTGAGATTGACGATGAGCGGAAGGTGCGAATCTTCTATGAGAAGCGTATGGGCCAGGAAGTGGAAGCTGACCCACTTGGAGAAGAATGGAAGGGTTATGTGGTGAGAGTTGCTGGTGGAAATGACAAGCAAGGCTTCCCCATGAAGCAGGTTGGTTGTGTTACTACTATAGTGAAGCTTTTTGGAGCAGCAAGGCCCAAAATACTGAAGTGCACTACCTGATGCATTTTAGTTCAGTTCTTTCTTTTTGATTTGTTAATCCTAATCATCACTGGTTTGTACATTGCTTGAACCAAGATAATCAATGAGGAACTCCTTATGGGATAATCAAAGTTTTATTACTGAAACTGTCTAACTGGGAGTGACTCATCATGATTATAATTTGTCCAATCCTTGCATGTCTTGAGCTTTTGCCCTCATGTTTTTTAATTGCCTTTAATGCACTGCTAATATTAGAAATTCAGTTAATTGTATGTCCAAATATCAGGATGAAAATATGCATATAAAAACAACTTTTCAAACTTGATGTCTTACCACTCTCATGATAATACATTTTATTGCCTTTAATGCACTGCTAATATTAGAAATTCAGTTAATTGTATGTCCAAATATCAGGATGAAAATATGCATATAAAAACAACTTTTCAAACTTGATATCTTACCACTCTCATGATAATACATTTACCTTTCTTCCTTTTTATGCTATAAAAAATACATGTCAATTTCTCAGTTTTATAGCTTAGAATGAAGGAATACTAGCTCTAGTTCTATTTTCAACTAGGGCATTGCATACATCGCTTTTATTAGTATTGATACTGTAGGGCAGTCAGTGTAGAAGTGGACATTCTGGCAGATAGCCCTGATTGTTTGAGATGGATAGATATCATGCAGTGCTTCATATGAACCCACCTGAGTCATTCTTGTTTCTTGCTTTTTCTTTAATAGCAAAATTTTGCTGTTTTTTTTTACCATAAAAAGAACATTTTGTTTTGACTGGCTCAATTGCTCACACTGAGTGACTGGTGCCATTGTCGTCTTCATATTTTTCTTTATTTACTGTTACATTTCCAACAGGGGATCCTGGCTGCTGGGCGTGTGAGGTTGCTCATGTCAAAGGGGCATTCCTGCTACCGCCCTAAGAGGGGAGGAGAAAGAAAACGAAAGTCGGTCAGAGGCTGCATTGTGGACGCCAATCTTAGTGTCATTGCTCTGACAATTGTGAAGAAGGGAGAACAGGTATGAGGCTATTCATGTCATGGGCATGTTGAGATTCAGTGACTCCAGAGTATTTTCTTTTTATGGAAAACGCCATGGACTCTAATGGAACCCTGTTTTCTTTTTTAAAAGTAGAAATTGACTCCATAGTTTCCCTTATGAGCTTTGAACTTCTCAATGTCATCTATTTGTTGCTACTTTTGAAACCAAGCTATTCCATACATACTATATTATGAAGAGGCTTGGTGCCCAACCAACAACCAAAGACAGTAACAGAATTAGGGGTAGGCTCGATTCTCTCTCTCCCCCCACCTCACCCTTAGTTCTTATCTCAGATGTACAATTTACTAAATTCACACTTTGAACTGAACCAAACCCCCAGCCTATCCAGAAATCCTATGTCTACCACTCTTGAAATATACCTTCACCTCAGTTCTGTAAGTCTGCCACTTTAGTAGCCATCAACGTGTTACTATAAACTATATACGTGATGTAATCCAGGTAACTCTTTTGGAAAGAAACTATTGTTTATATTTCAAGCAGTATAGTTTCATCCCTAAGGGCAAGGTATGGGTTAATGTACCCATTGCCTAGAAATTTATCACATCTGTTATGCTCAAGTTCATGTAGAAGTGAGAGTTTCCTCCCTATGAAGGATTGCTATGGCATCCTTGGATGCATATCTTCATGATCCAGTGTTATATTGATGAAAACTTTAGAATCACATCTCTTGCATGCATGCATGCCTCCTTGGTTTGGTGTACTTCTGTATCTTAGGATTTTCATATTGAGGCCGATATTGATAGAAACTTTCCTCTTGCAGGAAATACCAGGCCTGACAGATCACACCATCCCCCGTCGCCTGGGCCCTAAGCGAGCCAATAAGATCCGGAAGTTGTTCAATCTGACTAAGGAGGATGATGTGAGACAGTATGTCATCAAGCGCCCCCTCCCACTGAAGGATGGCAAGAAGCAGCGCTTCAAAGCCCCTAAGATCCAGCGCCTTGTTACTCCTGTCATGCTCCAGGTTTGTTATTAACTTCCCCTCTTTTGCATTCTTTTTAAGATATGGTGGAATGAAGATCTCCATATTGGCAGATGAAACCGATGTGATGGGTTTTGGTCTTAAAAGTTTATGTCACTGCCAGCAATTTTTCAACTCAAGCTGTTGAAATGAAAAACTGCATGAATTCACCTTTCTTTGCACAATCCATAGTATTAGCTTTGTTGCTTGTCCACTTTTACTTTCCATGTAACAAGGATGAGGCCATCACAGAAAGAATGTAGTTGCTATGCTGAAGGGGTTTAATGCTGTAAAGTTACTTATTTTGGATTAACTTCCATGAATTCTGTTTGCCCATGATGTAGAACACCTTTGATATAATAAAATTTTTCATCATGGTATGTGCATGCTTGGGACTGCAAGAAAATTTTCCATGCATGATATCTTCCTACACTTTCATATTTTGTTGCCTTCCCTTCTTTCCCTATCATGATGAGCTGAGCTTCCTTTATCGGAAGTAGACAGGATTTTCATGTGCCAGTCTGCAAGATTAACAAAATCTTCATTGCAGTGGATGCTTTGGAAAGATAAGGTCACTTCCTTCTGGCCAGTTCTTCTCTTCCTAATTACTCATGAAACAATATTGCTTATTCTTGATCTCCCCCCCTCTTTTGCTTGATATTTGGCCTCCCAATCCATCTTAGACACAAATCCTGTGGAATGGTTGGATAATGGATATTAAGAGGATCTCCTGTACATCGTTTTATCCATTCCCGTGCTAGTTTCCACATTTGCAAATTGGGATCAATTTTCAGTGAAACTGTTTAAAAGTGCGTTTCCATGCTGGCATAGGAAATTTAATTATGTTGAAGAAAGTAGTGTTGAGCAACTTTTGCCTGCTAAGATATTCAAAGGGACCACTGTGAAGGAACCCCACACCAAGCGATGTCAAGAGTGAAGCATAATGTACACCTTAACTATTTTTTTCTTTCTGCAGCGCAAGAGGCACCGTTTGGCGCTGAAACGTCGTCGTGCCACCCGTAGAAAGGAAGACGCTGCAGAGTATGCCAAGCTGTTGGCCAAGCGTCAGAAGGAGGCCAAGGAGAAGAAGAAGCTGGAGGCCAAACGTCGCCGTTCTGCCTCCACGAGGGAGTCAAAATCGTCTGTTTCCTCCAAATGAGAAATGGGCTCGAAATAAATTTGTCGGCTATTGCATGGGAACCTTTTGATTTTTCCACACAGACACAAATCAGCTGCTGCATTTGCTCTCTGACCAGACCAAACCAGATGAAAACAACTGCTATAATGCAAATGCAGCCCAATGCTAAAAGCACACTTACAAGCTTGTTCGATTTGGTATTGTTCAGTATACAAGTAGTTGGCAACTGACACAATATTGAGACTCATTAAGTTTATTGCATTTGATTCATCTTGTGAAAATAGTAGAAGTAAAATTTGTGATTGGAGAGGCGTGCGAGAAGAATTATAAAATGGATTCCATACACACTATGGAGGAAAGTAAATGTAGGACAGGATGACAGACTATTCTTGAGCCAATGCTTGCGATCGATCTCTTCCTGTTGGGTGTTCCCTTTTGTCTCTGAACTATACACTCCATTCAAAATAAGAGAAATGCAGTAGTGCTTATACAACAGGGTCGTTCATTAAATTTTAGGGTGAAATATACAGTTCGAACCTTGTCTCATGCGTAACTTTTATACTTGGATGCTTTCGTGATCTTCATTCCTTCCTCTCCACGGTGGGCCACGTCTTTTCACCTGCAAGTTAATGGAATAGGAATCAAGCTGTTGGAAGAATCTGCGAGGACTGGATGGGATAACGTTGTCGATCGCAGAGTTCTATGGAATGCCAAGCTGGAACTCCTGTTACCTTTCCTTCTTATATATTCCCAATTAAATAATTGATTATCTCTTTCCTAGACAATCTAGGGGCAGGTTCCTTAGGTAGGCAAGGATTCTATCTGTTGACATAAAGACAAGAAGAGTGACATTGAACGACTCATGTTTCCAGAATCAGAATGCCGCAACCCTGTTGGAGTAATGGTCGCCTCTTTGTGATATTTCCTGACTTTCCAGTATGGACCATCCTTGAGGCGACTTGTAGTCGAGCGTGTTTTGCTTTCCAGTCTCAAGGCTAGGCCTAGCCTAGGCCAAACGTGAAATTTACACGTGGCACTTGTTTGTCTTCTACTGTTGGTCTGGCTTTGTTGAGGTTCAAGTCAGCAAAAAGGAGCTCATATGGATGCCCTTAGGAGGTCCTTCACCGTTTTCCGAGCAGTAAATCGCGCGGCCAAGACTTCTGTTGGTCTGAAACCCAATTTAGCACCTCTCACCACTGCAAGAGCTGGCCTCGGTGCTGGCTTAAACGTGTTCTTGCATTGTTCTTCATCCATTGACAGGTTAGATGGAGAATATCAATTTTAAAGCTTCCTGTAGTCCTATTAAGCTAGTGGGGTGTGGATCTAGGTCAAGAGTCTTCAGTTAGTGCTTTCATTTCGGTGATTTGAAAGCTGGGTATGGCTGTATACAGACCAACCTGTGACACATAACCAGTCCTAATTAATTGGTTCATGTTCTCCATTTCCCCATCACATCTTTAGTGGTAATGCCATGAATTTTCATAGTTGAGCCAAAGTTAACCATACGAATGGTTAGATGACCAAATTTCTGAGACAAAGGGGAAAAGTACTCAGTATCAAGCATTTCCTGTGACTTGCATCCAAGAACTCAAATTATGAGAGGAAAAACACTATATTTGGTCATGGCCACCTTGGAAGGTGAATGGCTAATGTGACCCCAGCATAATCCCAATCCCAAATCCCAAGAAAATGTTTGGGACAAGGCATTCTTTCCCATTATCTCAGCATATTAGATAGCACCTGGCCTGGATCTGGGTCAGAGCAATCTGAACTTGAATTGGTAGAAAAGTCTGATCATGACTTGGTAATATATTCATAGTTTTGCCTGTAGCTTTACTCTTACGTTGGGGGGATCATGATTATCTATGTTATTGTGAATAGTTTGTGAATAATGACATTTTAAAGAGTATGTGCTAGAACTTTGCAAAAAAAAAAATGGGGGAGGGTCATTCATTTAGTTCTTAATGGATAGAGAAACAGGACATATCTCAGGACTGTATTTGAAGCTATTTCCATGCAGTGAAACAAACTGGAATTCTAAACATTATGATTACAAAAGTGGGTATAACTTTGATGAACATTTTATTTCATTTTGCTGGGAACCAGGTTTATTTGAGTCTTTTTATTCATCAGTCAACTGATTTTATTGTAGCAGGAGGCAAGTCTCAACAGCAACAGTGCAGAATGCTGAGATACCCAAGTCTGGTGCTAAGCCAGTGAAAACTGAGGAACCATCTGGCAAAAAGGAGGCCATGGTAGAAGATGTTGGGGCTGTCATCATGTCAGATGAAGAAAGGGAGCATTTGAGGCAGTTACAGGAATATATCACCACTGATAAACCTGTAAGTTTTTGTTTCTTTTAAGCAAGGCTTAGTCCTGTGTTAAAATTTAAAGTGAATGAGACATCAAGAAACAAGTTTTAGTTACGTTCCTTAGCATCCTAAACGTGGACATGAGACTTTTGGCCCACTGCCCCCCCATTTTTTAGATTTTGAGGTGATGTGGAGAAAATTGTATTCAAGGTTCAGTCTCATATTGATGTTGCCTTGCTTAAGTGCAGTCCTTACTCATGCTGTGCAGCATGCTGAGTACTGGAGCTGCAAAATATTATCCAGAATTGCAGCTCCTGCACTGTAATCCTGCAATTCTACAATATAATTTTAGATTTAATTGGTAAGATTCAGATTTGACTTACAATTGATTTAGATTGGTTCAAGAATTGAAGAAAGTTAAACCTGAAGAATTTCTTAAACTTGCATGTATTTGAAATTATTTTTTTTATTCCAGTCTTTCACATTTTGCATGTCTGCAGTCTGAAATCAATGTGGAATTTGGCTTAAGATTTTATTTGGAAGTAAATTTGATGAATGACTTGGATTTGACTTGAAGCAACTGTCAAGATTTTGGATTCAGCTACAACTAAATAGTTTCTGCAAATTAATTTTTGGAGACAGGAGAAGAATTATTCAGTCATCCATTGCTGCATCAGATATAGTGGATTGGATTTTTCCTTGATGTACATGTTGCATGATACAGGGCTTGATAATATTGGAGTGTTCTCAATAAAATTCATTATATATAGATGAGTGTATGGGAGGTGAGTGGAATTCCAGAGGAGCACGTGAAGACCCGGCAAGTCCGCATTTTCTCACCTGCAAAGAATGCCATGCAGAGTGGGACTAACAATACACATCATTGGCTGCTGGAATTTGAGACCCGAGAAAGATGGGAGAATCCCTTGATGGGATGGGCCAGCACGTCAGTCATTCTCATCTCCTGTTAGCATTATGTGGCCTTTAGGCACTCTTCCCTTCATGGTTTGATTTCTATTTCAGGGGAGACCCATTGTCAAACATGCGGGTGAAGTTTTCGACAAAAGAAGATGCAGTGGCATTCTGTGAAAAGAATGGTTGGGAGTACTTGATTGAAGAGCGAAGTGTACCCAAGCCAAAAGTGAAGTCATACGGATCTAACTTCTCTTGGAATCGACGTACCCGAGTTTCAACAAAGTGAAATTATTGTGTTGCTATCACAGATTTTGTGTCTCAATAAATTTCACAAGGTAGGCATTGTATGGATTGTTGTATTGTAAACTGATATAAAGATAAAAATTATCTTGAGTTCTTTCATTCTGTCCATTGAGAAGTTTCAATATAGGCACTTTTTTTTAAATGAGGAACTGCTTGAACAATCTTCCTTTCAGCATAATCAGTGAATACAGAAGTGCAGAATGCCATTGCCAAGATTTCACTTTGGCCTGTCCCAAGTCCATTATAGAGGAAGGAATTGATGACACTCAGCACTGCAAGATCAATGGAAGGGACAGATTACCCTTATTCCCTTCCCTATCTCCATCTATGGTTTCAGCATGGCCCAGGATGAAGGAAACTCTACTTCACATTTATTAATGATGCCTAGCAGTGGTCTCTAAGAAACAAAACAGTAGTTAAATATATCTTCTATGACCACTGTGGGAACAAATTGTTAGATATTATTGAATTTACCATTTTACTTTTATTTACATTGCAGTATGCAATTGATCAGTGGTGTGCTTTATTAGTCTGTCAATGACACGAAAAAAAGGCACATTTAAGTTCCCATTTAAATTAATGAATAATTGTATTTTTATTAGCAAATATTTTGCTTCATTGCTACTACAGCTGCCCACAATTACATTGTTAAAAAAGGCTTATTTTTCATTACACCTTACCTCTAAAAAGGTACCAAATTGCCACCCCCCCCCTGGGGTAGAAATTTGGTACCTTTTGTTACATGTTACATCAGGTTTTCCCCTTCCTCTTCAAGAATCGGTACTCAGTAATTGGGTTTTATTTCCCCTGTTGCCAGAAAGCAACATAATTTACTCTATGTGGATTGAAGTCATTTCTGTTGTTAATCTATCAGCATTATACAGGTGGACAGAAAGTACCTGAGGGGTTTCATGCCTGTAAAACTTGGGAATGGGATGGCATAGAATTGTGTGATGAGCATCGTATGAAAGGTTATTTCGTAAATTGTAATATGACACACCAAATCACATCTTGCACTTCATTCTTCTATGAATTTGAATGAAAAAATTCATGAAGATCAGGTCTAAGGACCAGTCTTATTGGAGGAAAAATTTCCGAACAAATGTATGGAATGGAGAGTGTTTATCCAATTGCCTTCCCCAGACCTGACCCATAGAGACTCCCATATGTGGGGACATGTTAAGAACATTGTGTATGCCACACGCACACGAAGCGTGGCTGAATGGCACACGTGCATTGGGAGAGCAGTGAGGAACCAATTGGAGGCAGTTCTGGAAATATTCGCTAGAAGGTTGCATGGATGTTTTGACAAAGACGGCGGTCATGTAGAAGTGTGAAATGTATGAATTGGCGTGGCATGAAGAGTTCGACAGAGAGAGTTTTCACAAGTAGAGAGCGCCACACATTATTTAGAATGGATCTTAGTAATAAACTGGGTTTATATTTTCCTCAGATTGCATCCAGTGAGAGCAGCAATCGCATGTCATATGGATTCCTTCAGCTCAGCCAATGGCGTGGGAATCTTGAAATAGACGATTTTCCTACGAAAACCCGAGCCAACCGTGTGCGGTATAGAGGTCGGGTTATCACGGCTACGTAACGAAGGCTCGTTTGCTGGTTTCAGACTCATCACATAACTTGCAATGTCCTGTGATCCTTGACCTGCATGAACGAGATGTTGACCTGGGGTCTTATCCATTACAATAACGAATTGCAGCAGCATCACCACATGGGGATTGTTAACTGGAATTATTATGTAAATATATTTTTAAAAGTGCCCCTCACGATGAGCCATTGTGGTGTCAATTAGAATCACGCGACTGACCTAGGTGCTCCAACACGAATATGTAGCAATGCATGACCATTAATGCTGAAAGCGCGCCTCGTGGGTCCAGAGCTTTGCCCCTCTCTGAAATGGCCTCCAGTGCGATTGGTGAACTGGAAGCGCGATCCTGTGAAGGAAATTTCAGCACATTGCGGAGAGCGAGTGATTGTCTGGCAAGTTATTCGCACGGAGCAAGGTCCGTCGATGTGTCCAATCGTCTAGCATTCCTGGCGCTGCATCCACTATCCCACTTCCACCTGCGCTGTACGGAGGATGAAACGATTGTTGCAGTCCAAATACCAGCACGCGACACGTCAATAAAGTTTCTAATACACTCCAAAATTTTCCCAACTTCAACTAAGGATGAAAATACAAACCCAAGAAAGCGTTGCCAACAACGCCCACGTAGTGTTGAAGCATCCTTTCCCAATGTTGGTATAGAGTAGAAAGTGTGGCGGTAGCCGAGTGTGGCTTTTCGTTGTTGTTGGGAGTCTTGCATTTGACCGAGTTTCGGAAGATTTCGAATGATTGGGGTTGGTCGAATATCAGAACAAGGCCCTCGCGGTTTTATTTAATAAGCTTTACATAGCAATAAGAATAAGGATATAGAGGTACTCACAAAAGAGGTACCATGGTGGAGGCTGGAGGTGGGTGGGCCACGCAAATCAGGAAAACTGCGTCCAGGACGGGGTTACAATCAAGACTGTCGCTCTGCCTCTAGGGGCATCCAGAAAAACCTTACTGCCTCTCCCCTTAGTCAGTGACCGGGGCCTACTTCCCAAGTAAGGACATCCCTTCCGCCGCGTCACTGGCTTGGAGGAGGTCGTACGGAAATTTACTACTGCTCGCGAAGAAGCATGGCCAATCCACCTCGCAGATAAGACATGGGCAAACCTACATACAATTTCTCCACAAAAGGGCCATACGAGAAAAAGCCTCACCATCGACAGTTGCGTCTCTCCACAGAACTGAGGCGATAGCTTCTGCAGCACGCTTTTATACCCACTTCCGGCTGATGCGTGGCGCTCCCTATCGGTGATTGCCATCAGCCAACAATCCTCCCCATCGAGTCTTGAACGGTTCTGCCCAAGGGCATCTCACCCGTAAATTTCAGGATAGAAATTCAGTATCTAAACCATTTTACGGTTCACCCCGTTCCTGACCTATTTCTACTTTCTATTTATTTATTGCGTTTCATCTGATCCCACGAGGGCATGCCGAAAAGTTCCTTGTCTCATCTCATGATTCTCGCCACGTAACTCCGTTTTCTTGGCGGCGAACTTCGCCTCGGTTTCGTCTCCAAACGAATGCGAAATTTTGCGTTTCCTCAGCATTGCTGGGTCTTGCGTTGCCGTCATGCAAAAACAGCGCAAAACAACATATTAATTATTTTTAATTCTTCCGTTACGCATGGTGATTCTCCATAGGCCAGACATGGAGAGAAAGAAAGAGGGCGTTTTCCAAGTCTCACCCTAATCTTTGACATTTCTGTAGAATCTAACCAACAGGGTTCTAATTTCCTACTTGTTTACACCATGGCAACATCATTGAGTTTGCTGGGCACAAACATTTGGCACGAATTTTCTGTCCACAGTCGGCAGCATGCACCTTACGTTTTCTGTATTTCAAGAACCAATAAAGCTTGACCGACGAAACCAGGATGGTAGCATCCGGCTGTAAAGCGGTGTCGACGGTCACGAGTGATCGAGCGGCAAGTGCCTGCACTCAGGGATCTTTCATGATCTTTCTTACGGATGATCGATGGTATTTCCCTTTGTGGGGCGGAAAATAATTTTTTTTTCCCCATAGATTGCTAGCAACTTCGTGATACATTTTTTTTTTGTCTTGGGTCTTTCCTTAAATCTTCCCTGAAATTTACCTAGTTTGGGTTAGCTGAAGGATAAAAAATAACAGAATGAAATCGAGACAGGCGCGAGATGAAGTTCTGATCTCCTGAAGCTTTTTGGAACGCCCAGAGGGCACGGAACATTTTCGGTTTCATGCAGATTTTTTCCTCATTCGGGAATGGGGAAAATAAACAGAAACTTCTCAGGCCTGAGAATCACTCATCGCATTTTGTGAGGGGTCAGTGGAAAGAATGAGATGCGTAACGGTTTTCTACTCCGAGCTGATACAGGAAACAGTCTGGAGATCATTATCTATGGTGAAAAAGGGAAGAAGGAAGGAGGAGACCCCAGACGGAGGGTGGTGTGTGTGTGTGTGTGTGTGTGTGTGTGTGTGTGTGTCTGGAAGGAAGGAAGGAAGATATAAAAGCGGATTGGGGGTTGCTGTTTTATTCAGTTCTGGCTTCGTCTCGTTATGCGGCTGTTTTTTTCCGCCCTTTGCTCTCGCTTGAGGTGTTTTCTCGTTGATTATTATTTCTGCTGGCCGTCTGAGGAATTGTTCATTATTGATGTTTCAAGTGGAGGTTATATTTTTCGTTTCTATACGCGCTCTGAAGGTAATAATAAAATTAAGACCTCCCAGTCCACCAAGACCTCGGACACCCACCACCAATCAGACTCAAGTCGCGGAAACCGTTTTGGAAAAACGGCTCGCGACCTGATGGCGTCGTCTTTCGACGTTAAAGAAGAGTGGAGGAAGGAATGGCACAACTCTACTGTGCCAAACAATTTTCTTCCACCTGCCCCGGGAATTATGGACTAAGCTGGACCGAATCCGCACAACACACGCCAAGACCGGACACCATCTGCACAAATGGCAATATAAAGACAATCCTGCCCGCGACTGCGGACATCCCAACCACACCGTGGAACACATAGTGAACCATTGTGAAAACGAAAATTCGACGGAGGAATCGCAGCGCTATACGCACTGGAAAAGGACTCCGCAACCTGGTTATCGAACTTGGACCTGAATCTATAACTTGTTAATGCCATACGCAAGAAGAATAATTAAATAAAGTAAAGATTTTTCACGATCTTTCTCAAGTAATTGCCCAAGGCCAAAACCCCATGAAATTGGGTCTTAAAGGATGAGAATTGGTGACTGTGTAGCTTCCACAACATGGCACTCCCCCTAAGCATTGCCCTCTTTTTTTTTTCTTCAGGGTTTTCATTTACGACTGTATTCGATCATCATCGGCAGCAGGTAAACGAATGTCCTCGTTTCCACCTCAGTCTCCTTGGCGAAATGGAGTCAAGCCTTCTTCCTGTCGTGATTCAAGTTGCTCAAAATTTGACACTTCGTCTCCAAACTGGAGCTCTTGCCCTTTCAAGATATTCATGGAGTATCGCTTC